TTTGTTGGGGAACGTGCTTGGAATGGACAGCCCCGATAGCTGATATATACGTTTTAAAATAACTGGATATGTGATACGAGCATTGAAAGTGCTACGAGTATTTTCAATTTTCGTCTCTAAATGTCAGCCTGCTCCTCGTCTGCAGCGTTTCCTGCCTTGATATTTATTAATTCATTAATTTAATTTTTATATTTATTGAACTTTATGAACGAGAGAATGGCATTGATTATGGACAATGCTGTTTGGACGCCGCAATTATAATTGTCATTCTGACAGGATAACAAATACGTCTATAACAATGTTAATTAAAATAAAACTCGTGAAAGTATTTGAACATTGCTCATACGAGAGTTTTATAAATGCATTTTTTTGTAATTTCATTAACGCTATAATCGTAAAACAATTGAAAATGCACATATCTAGAGAAGATACACATTCATATTGGTCTGTGATCGATAATTTAACGATATTAAAACACTTCTCTATAATAATCGAACCTGCCTTTTTAATAAAATTTTTCATTCGTCACGATATGATATAGAGTTTATCAGTAGCTTTTTACCTATTCCAATTTGAATTCAATTGCGAAACAACTAATTGTAACAACTAACCGCAATGAAATTCGTAATTAAAATTGTTCTCATATAGGTACTGAAAGTTATAACAACGCGATTCACCTCCGTCCGTTTCTTCCGATTGTCAGTAAAATTATCAATGAAACATTATTTTGCCCTGCACAGACAAAGCTTTCGAATCGAATAAATACGAGACAAATTCCTCCGGACAAGAAAATCATCAATTTATCCGTACGCGTAATTGAATATTTCACAAAACGCATTGTCCATTGCAAGAATTTATACCTACAAACCTGAATCCCAGCCTCGTTCCTCGAGAAACAATAAAGTTTCCATTTCTTTGTGCAACGTTGTACTCATCGAACAATTCAAAGGTATACGAAGAAAAAGAAATAACTGCCATAAAAGAAATCATTTTTCAGTCAGAGTTACCACTCAATTCTCACAAAGAATGCCATTTAAAATCTTTCAATACGATCTACGATACAGCATCCACCGTACACGAATACTAACATATAATGCACAAAAGATTCCATACAGAATGAAATTACAAATAATAAGGTGATATACAGTGGGATATCCTGCAACGAACGAACGCCATAACGAACAGTTTTTCTCATTGAATCAAAACGCTTACAACGAACGCGGAGAAACACAATCGACCATTGTGCTTTCTCCCTTCCCTTTATAAATTTACACGTGTATGTGTATGTGTGTGATAAAATTTAAATACAATGAATACATATTTTTTCTTGTTCTTACTTTGGATATTTCACGTTAGGGTTACATGAGTGGCAAGTATAGAAATAATGGGAACGTAGTAAAAGGGCACAAGTGTGGCTAAATAAAAATGTAATATATTTCGTATTATGATCGTGTCTTTAAATACGTATGATTGTCGTGAGAGTCGACAGATACTTAATAAAAATGAGGTTCGTATAATATTAGGGGTATCCCATGAGTAATGTCGTTTCTCGAGACTGTACAAAATTTAATTTTATTTAGGACTTAATACAGTTTTAATCTATAATAAGCACACTAAATGGCAATATATTTAAATAGAATATAGACGATGTTATAACAAGCTAAATTATTGTCACTAGATGGCAATGTTTATCAAATTTGAAAAAAAAAACGACATTACTTATAGACACCCCTAATATTTATAGAGCACGTTACTAATTGTAAGACTTAAATAGTAACATGGTAGTATATTTATGGCAAATTATTCGAAGACACACATGTGTGAAGACACACAGAAAGACAAAGGTACAGCAACAAATCTCGCAAGTACCATCAATGCACAATGATGATAACAAGTATCCCGAAGAATTGTTACAAATCATTCATTTGTCTTCATTTAAATTCAGATTTCGAAGTCCTTCGAAAAATTTAAAGATTCGTAGAGAAATAATTTCTGCAGCTAACGTATTCGACTGAAAAAGAAAGAACGGAAACGCGAGGAATACTCGGATTTTTAAATTTTTCTCGACTGAAACTTACCATCTATGGAACAATGCATCGAAAGCAAAACCTGTTCGTTAACTGTACTCCGAGCATCCTGCAGACCAAGCATCTAAGACACAGGATCATCTTTACAATACCCCTAAAAACGACGTGTTTATGTCCGGCCACGCTGCATCATAACCAACCCCTCTTCAGCAGCCCGGCTACATAGACGACATTTACGAGGACGTGCCACCCTCCATCCCCCTCCATCCTCTCGTCCCTTTGAATCTTGGGTGAATGCCAAATGGCAAACCTTAACCTCGCCCCGTAATTGAAGGACTCGATAAATAAAGGCTACGTCTGCGTTTCGCAGTAATGCGATCCGCCTGTTATCCACAAGGCAGCAGTGCAGCACGAGAGCAGCCTTTTGATTTTTCACGTGGCGTAATAAATAAATAAACGCGGGCGACAAAGAGCAAGATAAAGCCGGCCGATAGGGGAGCGCGCACGCGGTTAACTCGGTCGTTATCGACAAAATGATAATATCACCGTGGGCAGGACGGGTGTTTGTTCACATGCTCGATACACTTTGAACGCTCTCCAAACTGTATGAAATTCAAAGTAGCACCGGCGAGCGAATACGTATATTTGTGTGTGTGTACGCGCGTGTACACGTGAAACTACGATTTAACACGGAACCTCTAGATCCGCGGGTATAATCTAGATTCGGCGGGATTCACAATTATCGTGCTTATTCGTGCGCACGGTAAACTCACATAAATTAAACTGCAAGAGTCGCTGAGAGGCGGCTAGTTGCCGACCATTTTCGTTAGAGCAACGATAATAAGGGGCACCGTGTAACTGGCGGGCAGGGGAGGCAAAGGCAAGTGCCGACGGATTCGCTGTTTTCTGAATTTTGTGCATTCTCGTGACACGTGATGATGACAGATACACGTGTGCATACGAAACATACATATTCTTCGGCACTTATTTTTTCAATCGTTTCTTTAGAAAAGAAATAGTGTCACGCTAAATTTGTTCCGCGTAGAAGAAATATGTGCAGCGACTTGACGAAAATATTCGAACATTTAGCATGCGGGAACTTTTATATGTGCTATATAAAGTAATTTGACAATGAGACATGATTGTCGTGAAACCACAAGATATTTATTGTAAATATACATGCATATGTTTCGCACGAATAGCATGCAATAAATGTTAAAAAATTGTCACACTGAGAAACATTGAGGAATATTGTGACTGTTTGAATAATTTTGTGATCTCTATGAAGTATATACTTTTAAAACTCGATCAACATAATCGTGAAATTTCAATCTACTAATGAAATTTCGAAATATTTTATATAACACGTATAATATAATGAGAAGAAGAATAATAATCGTAAGAAGTTTCAATGAGTTTTCAAATACTTTACAAACAACTGTAGATATCAATATAATATCAATATAAATTTCTAACGTCAGTACTGATTTCCTCACCTAGAGTAAATATATGGTATATAGTACGGCCAGAAAAAAAGAATTAATTAATATAATATGGAATTAACACGTTAAAAAATATAGAAGTAAGTATGAAATACAAATACAGTAAAAAATTGGCCGACGTTGTATACATAATTATAGTCTGTATAAAGTCCAATTGTAGTCCGAATAAATTGTACAAGCAAGCATAAAGTGATTCCTTGTGAAAAAACAACAAGAAAATGTGGAATAAAACTTTTTCGTCTGAGTTTTAATTTTCGAAAAAATCGGAATTGGAAATTCATTGCACAGGCTGAGATATAATTGATACACTCTACTTAGATACAGAATTAATATTCAATTTTCAGGAAGCAAATGACTTGATTTCATAAATTCATTCATCGTGAAAGAATGATGTACATAATGGTAAATTTTAGGATAAATTTAAAAGACAATGTTTATAATATCATCACTTTTCTATGCTTCTCATTTTATGGAATTGATTAATATGCCTTTTGGTTTATATAATACGTACAAAAATTTTATTCTTATTTTTTTCATGAAAATTTACCTCGCACCCGCTTGTACTTTTAGGTACATGTTATTAATGTATAGCAGGATATTATAAATTGATCATTTTAATCATTCTGATAATTTTAATGAACTGTAATATAATATGGAGTCGTTAAATATTAAATCGTTTTAATTTTAATCTGATCGTAGATTACATTCTAATTCTAATAAAATCTATTTTATCTACTTTGATAGAATCACTCTAATCACTATCCCGATAACAATCCTAATATTCCAATGTTCTTGAATATTTTATTCTAATGCTATCTAATATTATTCTACTTCAATAGAAAGTTCAACGAATGATAATTACACTTGATTATTTTATAATAAGTGATGGTGCTCAATATACGATAGGAAGAACATTTAATATCATTCTGTTCTAATAATAATAATAATATTCCAATATTCTATTCCAATACTATCTAACATTACTCTATTCTAATGAATCCTAATGGACGACAATTTCAATATTAACGAAAATAGAAGTGACAGGAAAGAGTGTCGCGAAAAGTGCATAAATTTATCATCATATAAAAGGTAACGTTACAAATTTTCTGAGAGAGTATCTACGAACTTTTATCAATGTTAGAAAAGAATAAGAACGACAGGAAAGAACATTACGAAATATATAAAGGCCAGAAAAAGCCAGTGTATAAATTATTTTCAAACGACGAAATCATTCAAAATTCAGAAAACGAATGCTCACGTGTTCTATCTGTCGTACGAAATTAGTCTCTTCCTCGAAGTGGTCATTTTCGTTTGTCATTGCAAACAGATTGAATATAAAAAGAGACGTGCACACGTTCTGGAATAATTGACGTTTCTCAAATTCACTGAACCATAAAATCATCAAGTGCAAAGGCAGTCGAACGAAATACAGAGAGCTAATCTGAGATTCGTCGGTTTGGTTGTATTTCAGGTTTTCTACCAAAGAATCGGCGACACATGCTATTGTGGCGGTACACAACACCGACATCAATGGTCAAACGGTGAAATGTAGCTGGGGCAAGGAAAGCGGAGATCCCAACAATGCCCAACAAACTGGACAGGTAAACGTTCGCTCTTTTATCGACCTCTCGTGGAAAGAGGGAGCAATAAAATTCGCGACAGAATTCTGGATAAAGTTTGGAACGTGCGCTTAAGATCAAATTTTAAACAGAGTTTCGAATCACTTCTTTCATCGATCACCGGAATACGGCAACAGCATTGCGAGCAACTAAACATGAAAAATAAAAGTATCTTACACGTTCTCTTTTACAAGCGTCTATAAAAAAAAAAAAATAATGAAAGGACAGACTATACTAGTGAAACAGGAATCACAACTGGGCATTTTTTGTTTCTAAATTGTTGATTATCTTTTGTTGTCGAATTAATGTTATTGGAACTGGTCTCGCTAAAATTGAAAACAATAACTTTTATAAAAATTCGCACAGATAGCAAAGTGTAACTTGACTCGAGATGTTTTGACTTTCATTAATTACTTTCATAGTAATTATGAAAATAGAAGTCTTAAATTATTATGTACGCAAAAATTTGGAGAATGTTAGAATTTTTATTTCAACCTCGATTAAACGTGTTAACATTTTTGGTGCGATCTTGTGTCATCATCATTGATATTGTTATCGCTGACAATCCAAGTAAATAAAAAAGAGAAATTAAGCAACTACGAAAATGATATTTGATATTATGATATAACTGATATTCAGAGTAACGTAAAGAGTAACGTAAAGAGATTGTGAAATATCGATGTGAATTTTGGAAGAATATCTTTGGGAAAGTTCATGCTCCGACTATATTTTAATTTCGATGTTCGTGCCAAAGATTCTAGCAATTAATACTGAGTCCACTTTGAACGAGAACTGAGTTCAGTTTGAATTAGGAATGGAGATATCTTGGCAAATGCATTATCATATGCGTCTGTTCAATCGTATATGTGCCTTTGGTAAGCATTTTGTGTAATTGAAACCAAATAAGTAGAGGGCCTGAGTTTAATGCAGAAACTTTTGTAAATTATCGTGTGATTTCTATCTTCGTTATCCTAAATTACATAAAAGCAAAAGTAAGTATATTCCCGACGACAATTATAGCTGTTCAATTTTTCAAAAATAAATGAACGACTTTATACTTACGATGTAATAATTATATTGCATTTTATTATTATACAATATAATAATATATATAATATACATACAATGTTATTTAATGTATTATTATATTACTTACATATATTACGTTATATTATATTTTATATATTATTACAAATCTATAAATAGTTCATCTAATTAATAATAATTATCCAAAGACGCTTAAAAACTTCAAACTAATTTAATAATAATTAAGATATCTCCTTTAAAGTAATTAAACGCGTCAATACTTCACGAGAAACAATACAACAATGCCGCAAGCAGCTTGAAAATAATTGAACTAAAAACCATGGATGCAGCCCGACGAACGTGTCGACAACGAAAATCAAAATATCCAATTCCCCCCCCAACATTCATCGTATCGACGCGAACGTACATGGCGCCTCATTACCGAGAATAAATCGCGAAAAAATGGGAAGTTCCAGGAGATATCGGAAAAAGGAAATAGTTACAGTATTCGATTGCCAGTTCCATCCGGTTCGAGGGGGAGGCTTTGCGTTCAGTGCATGACCGACCGACCCGGCACGAGACCAATGAAAGAGTGAAAACGGAAGTAGGGACGGGGGACAGGGAATCGGGCAAGATTCCGGTCTATTCACGGGTCTTGCTCTAAAGTGTGTCTGTCGGGTCTCTTAGCAATTAGCGCCGGTAGGACGAGTAAGTACGTCCGATCTGGGAATGGTAGCCCAAGTACCGCCCTCTTCTCCCCTTGTTCTCTCTACGTCACAGTACTTCCGTCCATCCATCCACTGTTACTCGGCCCGTGACATCGGTCTAATTGATCCCTATTCCCATAACGCGCTTCTCCCACGAGTACCGGGATATCGCATTACTACGTAGTACCTCGTCGTGACATCGCGGTGTCTCATACCCGACGCAGCTGGAGCGTCCTTTTCACGTTCCATCTCCTTCTTCACCTCTCGTGAAAACCGAACTTTCTATTCGGGCGTCTCAGCGTCTACGGAGATTCTTCGATTAAGGGCCAAGCTGAAGTCCCTGTTTCTCTACATTTTCACGCGGTTTTTGACAAACGAACGAGACGCTTGACGATTTCGAGAAATTTCCTCTCCCTTCTGTATCTCTCTCTTGTTTTAATAACAATCTATAATCCACAGAATCCACAGATTGATATTTTCACCAAATTTATCATCAGTTAAATCTACGAGCTAAAGAACGACGTTAAAGTGTTAAAGTTAACAGCACATGTGAGAAGGATTTTCTACTGCCAGAAGGATTTTCAAAGATCGTTATGCATAAAATGAAGAAGATGACCCTACTTCGTTTTATTTCATTAGTCAGTTCTTTCTCAGGCGTTACAGTCATACTAAATTAATAATTTATACTCTTCCTTCCTCCCCCTCACCCCTCCTTCTATATATCTCTTTTCTAATAATTTACTATCCACAGACGCCAGATTAATTTTGAACCTCGTCAGAATTCAAAATTCATTTCTTACCAAATTTGTTATCAGTTAAATTCCTGCGGTTTAAAGAACGACGTGTTAAAGCATTTTGATGCCAGGAGAATTTTTACACGAGCGTGTATTAGCATTTTTAACGGCATCGAGATCGTTATGCATAAAATCAAGACGATGCCCTCCCTACTCCTTTTTATTTCATTGATCATCGTGTGCTCTTCCAGGCGTTATCGTCGGCGACGTACCCATACTACGCGGCGGCGGCAGCTGCCGCCGCGGCGGCGGCAGGCGTCGCGGGTGTCGGAGGAGTCGGTGGCGTCGGCGGTGCTGGCCAGCTAGGATATTGGTATCCGCCCCAATCTTATCCCACGACAGCGACGCAGATGCAAGCCGGTGGTTTCCTCCAAGGCATGCAAGGATACACTTATGGACAGTTCGCCGGGTATCAACAGGCGCAATACATGGGGTAAGTTCCTTTACATTCTTAGCATCTAACTGCTTTACCCTGCTACGGGGTTTTTTGGTTCTTTTTTTTTTTTTTTTTTTTTCGTTCTTACTAAAGTGGTGTATCGTGGGGCCACAGATAATTCTATTACATTATGTTATTTTATTATATTACACTTGTGACATTCAATTTTTTTTTATTTTATTTTTTTTTTTTTTTTGTATTTGATTGAGATTAGTAATAACTGGACTGCAGATTTTTGTGTATTATACAACATGAAAAAATATATAAAGTATAAAATACTTTATAATATTTGGCACGTGAAACAATTTTTCTTTTTTCTTTTATCACGTTCTTAAAAATGTGAATTTTTATAAAAATCCTAAAAGTCTGGTGACAATGTGAAATGAAATTGAAAAGTTCAAAATTAAGAAATGTGAACCCATAGTAGCATTGACAAGATTTCCTTTTGTGAAATGGAAATCATATTTTTGTAAACATAATTGGATAAAAATTTATATTGTCAGCATCTCGGATATCTTGTATGACAAAAAGCTTTTAAAATGTACTCATTCTTCGTAAAACCTATACCACCATATATTGAGTATAATATAATTCGTTTATCCTTTCCCGGTTCGCCATTGATCTTAATCAATTAAGCGGAGTAGCTAATACCGGTAAACATAAACAAAGCTCAGTAGGTCAAGTCGATTCTTGTAACATACTACGTTAAAACGTTGGCTGAACTTAATGCACGTCGCTAATGTTCACGACACAATAGTCTGTAAATGACCGATGAAAATTGCACATTAGTATACATCGTTGAATTCGTCCCGAACAAAAATACGATAAAATATTCTGCAGAAATTGCAGAAATGCAGTTTTAAAACAGACTCCTTTAAAAATCATTAATTTCGATTTGTAATAGCAAAGATTATCAAGTAATTTCTTTCTGTTATGATAAAGAATAAAATTCAAATAATATTTATATACGACATTCGAACATTAATAAGGTGACAAAATTTAAGATATTTTCATATGATTTATCCGTTAAATGATAATTAATAATGAGTATAAATTAGATAAGTATAAATTTTATAGGAGAGATTGTTTGATGAAAAACGATGAATTAAATTGCCTGCAAAAAAATTTGATTTTACTCCAAAATGTTACTATGCTCTTCACGTTGAGAAAGAAAAAACTATGCTTTTCATATCCGAAAAGTTGGAAACCTACACTATGCATCTCCAGAAAATTGAATGGCCGTATTTTCCACATCCGGTCAATTAAAAAGTATATATTTCTCACATTCAGAAAACCAGGAAGCTATACTTTTCGCGTTCAGAGAACTAAAAGGCTGTACTTTTCGTATTCGAAAAACGGGAAATTTGTATAGAAACTTAAAAAGCTATCTTTTTACATCGAGAAGATTAAAGAGCTGTATTTTTCACGTGTGGAAAACCGAAAACCAATACTTTCTTCCACTTTCTTCCACCCTTGCAAATTTTGATTTTCTTACACGCGTCGTTAGATAAATACATTAACACGACCGATAATTAATTTATAAAATTTCCAAATAATTTACCATTCGGTAGAAATTAGCTTTCGTATGCTATATATACGCGTGAAAAAGAAAAGAAACAAATGCTGTTCTCATCGATTTGGTACAGGATTGTTACAGGTATTTATTGTCTTCCTTTTCGTGCACGTATACGCGTTTCTGTACAAAAGAACCAGGATCAATTGCAGCTAGATAGTTACTCGAAACTAGCCGGTTACTACACCGTCAGTTACTTGAAACGAAACTGTGCACCTTTGTTGACACGACTTAAATGACAGCAATTCTTTTGATTCCACAAAAGAAGAGTAGACAAACTGTAACAATGCGCCATTCGATTTTCTGTTTTAATTTTCCCAAACTAGCAACCTTACACGTACACGCGCAACTCTTTTCATTCGTTCTTTGACAAACTTAACGTCATTCTATTGTAATTTCTCTCGCCCCCCCCCCCCACCGTTTCGTTCGTTCATTTTCATCAATCTCGATATTTAGAATGTTCACGTAAGTTTCTAAAAACAGTCGTTCAGAATTTTAAATACTTGAGAAAGAGCAAGGAGATGTAAATTATATCATTTACATGTTATATTTATTAGAAAGTAATAGCACAAACGATTTCCAACGATTTCGACGTAGCATCTCATACAACAAATTGCTTTATCCAATGTAATATTGTGTATCACATTCTGCTGGCACAAACGATTATATCAGGCGAAGACTTCCGGCAATGCCGGCGCAATAAAACCGGTGAATAAATTTAATTGAAAATTTGACGATGTCGTAAAGCAGTAAATATCGCCAGCCTTTAAACTGTTCACCTGAGAATATGTACAGGACAAAAGAGCGCGACTTTTCAGGATCACGTAGTATAAAGGCCAGGGTAATTTCTGAGAATAGAATATCTTTCGACTAGCTTTTACGATCTATGAAATGACGCCCTTAAAGTGGGTATCCGAATGCTTCTGGAGTATTCTCACGACTGTAAAGTAGAAGTGGTACACGTTCGAAATAAACTAAAGCCCTCGATTGTACGCATCGTACGCTGAAGGGTCGAACGACACACCGGCAAGCCACGGAAACGCCAGGCATGCATTATTTTTAAGTATCGCCTGACGTTGAATTTATCCTTGGCAAGTTGCTAGTTTGAACGAGCTTAAAGTGGACCGCGTAGGTAGAAATTTATTTTGTTTTACTTGGAGCTACGCAGTGTTACGAAAAAATCACAAGCTCAGTTATTGAGGAAATATTTTTTGCTTGATGTAGAGTGACATGTTCGATGTCGTTTCAAACGAAGATCGCAGAAAAAAGCACGACAAGTAGATTTTTAATAATTTTTTATTTTAATGTCACAAGTTTGGATAAAATGCATGGGATGAATTTCAAATGAATCGCGAAACACGAAGAGAGAGAAATTTTATATTTTATATTTTATACATTGTGCGAAAGTCTACACTTCTATTTCTATGAAACAAAAATATTTTGCTTTTATGAATAACAAGAATAGATATTCGACGTTATTTTCAACGAAGATCGTGGGAAGAAAGTAAGATAAATGGATTTTCGTTGATTTTAATTCTAATGACATACTGATTAAATGGAAATATTTTAACATAAAGCATAATAGCTATGGAAAATATCTGTCAATTTTAAAAATATTATAGCTGTAAAAGCTTTATGAAAACTAAAGGCTGTTAATACGAAGAATATTTAAATGTTACGTAGGAAACGACATTTTTTAAATTATTCCTAAAATATTCTGTTCTATCTTCTACTCCTACATTCTCTGAATAATTAATCTTTGGAGAAACGTTAAATTTAAGAATTACTGATAATTTTGTCGAATAACATTGACTGATTTGAAATATCATATATAATTAATATATCCTGTAATCCTTTTTTATTCTCTGAATATTAAAAATTCCTTTAAAAATTCTATCAAATAATCTTCCAGCAAATTTCTTTTATATTATTCGCTATTCTTGGTTATTTCAAACTTTCTTCTCTTGTATGTATATGTATTTTATACTATTTAATTCATTAAGGAATTTCTAAAAGAAACTATGAATCAGACAAAGTTACAAACAAGTAGCGCCGTGAAGCCAAGAAAATTCAAAAGAAATATTTCCTGAAATTATAATTAACTCCCGTCGAGAAACTCACACTGCCACAAATGATCTAGGACTTCGTCCCGTGTTTGAAAATATTTACTGACGCATTGAATATGTTGTCTAACTTCGTATGATTTAATTAATGGCACCAATCAAATTTTAGATCACACCACATCAAATCAATTCACTCAAATTTACATATCCCTTACCGAATTTAACCGCATTCAAATTTCCATTTATGTCTAACTTGCGTCACATTTGCTATAGCAGGCAAATTTATTTAGTTGCACCATAAATGAAGTCATTTGCATTTCACGAAATAATTATGTATCATACGTGACGTAATCTGCATGTAGGGGCGCGTGCAGTGCATGATATATATTTCACTTAAAATTATACTAGAACTATCTAAATCGTCGTGAATTTTTTATTCTTGACGTTATTGAAGATCTGCAAATATTACTGTGTTCCTATAGGGTAACTGACGAAAATATTCGAACAATATATCATAGAATTCGTACGATACATTTAAAAAATATTGTATTACGATTTTATTAATGAAATTTGGAATGTATATGTATATATATATACCAATTTGAAAATGTATATATTAATTACAAGATATTTAATTACGAAACATTTGATAATTTCTATATATTTCAAACCTGATTAATATAATCACGACAGTCGTGTCTCATTACAGTGTTAATGAAATTAGAAAATTATTACTAAGAACACACAATATTCATAAGAACTTCCTAGAGATGTTCAAACACTTTCGTGAGCAACTATAAACACAAATTAAATGTACATTTATTAAACGCATATTTTGAAAAAGCATTTACATTCAATTGCTATTATCAAAAGCTAGAATATTAATTCGTTTAAAGAGACGCAAAATGTAGCAATTCTGTCGCCACAAAATGCTCAACACGATTGGATTGTTAAACGGAATAGCGTACGGTACACGATCGCGCTCTTAACACAAGGCATCAAATCGAATTTGTGCATTTGCCGATCGCGCAATTTTTAGAGATTACGCGGCAGAAACGAACGGGGGCGCTTTCCGGCAAGCAGAGAATATCTTTCAGCGTTCTCACGACCCGTGAAACGGCGCCTTTAAAGACCGTGCGCCAATGCTTTTCAAGTATTACCACGATTGTAAACCGGTAATGTAACATATCCTCAGATAACCTAAAGTTTTCAGTTGCATGCATCGTGCGGGTCGAAAGGGTTTGAGATCTTTACACGTACAACGATAAAGATACATTCGTGAATCTGGAACGTGCCATTTTATGTTTAAAACCGATCAGCACAGAAAATACAATAAAACGGCCTCGTTACGGCATCGCTAAGTGTTGCCGTAAAAAGAGTTACAACTCCTAAAAAAGAAAAAGAAAAGAAAAATTCCTATGGGTGTTCGAATACTTTCGTGACTGTACGGTAATTGATATCTTTATTTCAAAAATTGTGGGAGAAGTCTCGATAATTATAAGATAATTGGAAATTCGTATAATTCGCGATAAAATTACTAATAATTTCTAAATAAGATCTAAACGTTAGTTCAAAACTTTAAAAACTCAGAATTTACTTGATATTTATGGCATTTTTCTGTTTTTCGAATGAAATGAATGATTTAAAATCGGAATCTATGAACTGTTTACCCCACTTCCCTTCGAAATATCCACAAGATCAAGCAAATGATCAAGCAAACTCTTTAATACACTTGAAAGTAACAGTCATCCGTTTCAGTTGTTTAAAAATATCGCGTATATTTAATTCGTTCGATAAATTTATCTCTACGATGCTCGTCGTGTTCGTGTATAGCGTATAAATTATGTTAAAAATATCAGAGAGTAGGCGTGGACGTTGCATAACTCATAACCATGAAAGATCTCGTGTCATAAGATAGGCACGTAGATGTAGAACAATATAAAACTGTCACTTTGATACTAAACGTTATGTAACAATAATTTTGCATGATAAACTGCCAATAATAAATATACATAATAGTCTATCTATCGGATCTACCTTCGTTTCTCGGACTATATAAATTATTGTTATTAACTAATGCAGAAACACACGTTTATAAATACTACTGATAAATAAGTACGTTGTATCGTGCTACAACTTCATTTAGAAAATTATAGTGAGTGAGATTTTTATCTTTTCATTCCTTCTTTCGTTTTACAACAATGATTTAATTTAAAACGTACGATTACTCAACGAAACAATTTGAAATAATTTTTGCAGGCAAGGCTAGATTTTCATCGAATAATTGTGTTAATTAATAACTCAAACGTCACCGTATTTATGTTGCTTATGTACTAATCGGATATTTCAGTCTAGACTAGATTGAATATATTAAATATTAGTAGAACGTGTAGATTAATGAAAGTTACAAGTAACTCGAAGAATGAATTTCAAATGTCTATTAATTTTCATTCCAATTTGTTAAACATTCGAAAAATGATAGTTTTTAGAAGAAACTTGCTTACCTAATTTTTTATCTTAGAGGCTAGATAGTTTAATATTTTAAATTTTATTGAGGAATTCCAAAGTCAATGTTTCATTTACCTGATAATCTTTTAAAACTTAAACTTTATCATGTTATAAAAGTAAAATGTGATCACCATTTATCTATACACAATTCTTTCCCATCACCTAAATAAATACCCCGATACTAGGATACAATGTTACAGCAATATTAGCTTCCTCGAATGATCGCTTGCGGCAATTTACTAAAGAAATTAAATTAAAACAAAGCTCCGTGTTATCTATTAAATATTTAATGCTACGTGCATTTTTTTTTTTTTTTACACCGTTAAATTCCCCTACCTCCTATAAATATGTAAAAGTTCACGGTTTAATTATCAGAAATCCAGCGTAATTTATTATCGCGCGTTGTTGCACGGTCCGAATTGCAAAACTCGCGCCGAATTTACAACCTTTCGAGCGGAGTTGTTTATTTGCCACGAAAATTACATGTATAAACTTGTGTAAATACAGAATGGGAATGGGTGTCCACGCTGCTGGCACGGCGGCAGGTTGGGGCCAGGGATTACCTGGGGGACCACAGTTACCGCCGCACCATGCCACGACGGTCACGGCACCCCCAGGGGTGCAAGCCGCACCCCCACCACCACCACCCCCGGCACAAATGATGGCCTACCCGATGCAACAGTTCCAGGTAACCATTACTTTTCTCTGTCTTTTTTCCTATCCGCGTGCATTCGTTGTGTTACATCTTGTGTATCCTTTATTCGAATCTGTACCTGTGTACTGGTATCTTGCTTTACATATATATATATATATATATATATATATATATATATATATATATATATATATATATATATATATATATATATATATANTATATTTTTTTATATATATATATATATATATATATATATATATATATATATATATATATATATATATGTATGTATGTATATATATATATACGTGTGCGTGAGTGTGCGTGCGTGTGCGTGCGTGTGTGTTCTTGCATCAAGTATCGTCATTTTTGATCCATTCATTCAGGGAAACCTCGTCGATCGACGAGACTGTATTGTTATATCGACATGTATCATCGACACATTAATAATTTACTTAGGAAAGAAATTGAAAAAATTATTGTTTAAAGAATTATTTATTATTAAGTTGTTCAGATTCGATTATTTGTAAAAGCCATTTAAGTGGAAATAGCCGAGAATACTGCTTGTATGTTTGTATTGGCAAATTAGTGGAGATGATTACATTTAGATTTTCTGTCTCTTTAATCGATAAAGATTGCGAATGATTTGAAAAAGAAATTAATGTCAATTTAAATAAATTACCGCAAGCTGAAATAGTAGTAATGACATTAGATTATTAAACGAGAAGAAATTTGTTCGTGAACGATTCCTTCAATTGAATCGATGTTACTCCAAACGAATGGATCAAATTATAATGACAATTTTACGAAATCTAGTCTTGGCTTCTGTATAGTAATATTAAAATAATTTATTGAGATGATTGAACGATGTTGACTGCGAAAATTTGTGTTATGAGTGGCTTTTCAATAGGATTGTTGACTCCATTATCTCGATGAATGTGACTGATGAAATCTTGTTGTGTTTTTCCTTTTTTCTATTTTTCTTTTTTTTTTTTATCCTGTCTTTTTGAAATTCCAATATTTCATGTATTATGTGATGAACGCCACACCTTCCTGCTACATGAACAAATTTCACTTCATTTTTCTTATCTTATTGTACATATATGCTGCTTCATCATCACGCCTAATTACAACCTCCTAAGTAATTAACCATTTACATAGTTCTCAAGATCATTTGCTCGAATATCTTGTTGTTATAATTATGCTTCGTGGAATGTTGATTATTAGATTAGTAATTTAATTTATAATTGTTTCAACTGCATTAACATGTACAATCATCGTTACTCGTTCGTATTTGCTATTACAGTTAGGTTAGTCATTTCAAAATATTAAAAAGAAAAGTTTCTATTGCAATTACAGTTGTTAAGCATTTTAGTAAGTATATTATAATTTGTCTGTGATTTACCGATAGTATCTTCTATCTTCTTTTAAAAATTTAACGAAGAAATTTTTTATTAAACGAAATTTTTTTTTTAAATACAAACGTTGATATTTCACGTTATGTTTTCGATTACCATTATTTACTCGTTTAGAATTATTAGTACTATTAATTATATTTTTGTAAGAATGAAGATTTTTCTTACTCCGAACGTGTTTAATTTTCTAATTTAATTTAAATTTGTTATTTTTTAAAGATATATTTCTAAACATAACGTCACATATACAGTATACGTACAAAATGATCCGTAACGTGATTTTTGTCAATTTAAATTCAAATAAAGATGTCATTTAGATTGAGTTAAAAGCATCACTGAAAAGAATGCAAGTTGAGAGTAGTTTTATCGTTTCTCCGATAAAAATTTGTAAATTTTGAGAGGCTGCGTATGAGCTTTCTGAGATGTTTAAATTAAGAAATCGTATAATGGAACTGTTCTATTTTAAACACTATTTAGTGATATAAGAAATTTATATTGGTATTTTCTTTAATTTCAGTATGTATTTGAAGATGTAAGGGGGCCTAGCAATACATATTCGAGATGAGGCAATACTAAAGAAAAAGAAACTTATAAAACCTATCAAGATCCTGCATAAGAATCTTTAAGTAAATATTTTTGTATTCTTGTTATGAAGTTTATGAAATCTTTCATCGCAAGAAATTTTTTTTTTTCTTCTTATTTCAGTTTTACAACATGCAGTATGAAATTTTATCATTTTATCGCTCGAAAATTCCTCCTTGCTACATTGAATGTAAATTTTGATGAAATCGAATGTTTCAAGTATCTTCGTATAACTAGTATGCAAACGCATATGTTCTTTTTTAAATTTATTAATTAAAAAATGTTGTTTACTTTAAGAAATGTTATGTATACTTTATGATAATGTAAATGAAGTGACACACGAAGAATAGCACTTCTCAGTTATTCATTTAGTTTAATTAAGTTTAATTACGTAATTTTAAGTTAAAACAATGTCGAATGATTATTTTTAATTGATTTATTGCGTTTCCTGTTAATGAATTATCACTTAAATGCTTAACAAATTTTCACCAAATTTTAAACTCAAAATTCGTATGAGTTATTTTCAATAACTCGACAGTAAATTCTACTAATAAAGAATAAAATGATCATGCTTAATGCAAATTCTGTATATTACAGTATATACCTATAAAATGTGCCCAAGTATCGTACCACGTTCACTACCATACCTTTTTTGCATGATGCTTAATGTGCACGAATATATTTGTTGGTGTATGAAGGGCTGAAGCATATACACGCTTGTTCGGCTTTGTTTACCTAAAATCGAGTATCTCGTTGAATCCCCTTTCAAATTGTCATGTGAAAACAAGTGGAACGACATGTATGTATTATATCTCAATTTTTTTTTAACGAGGCGTGAAAGACGCAAAACGACGATGCGACACAGTGAAATACTTAAAATACGACACGTTATCTAATAACGAACAATTCGCGGAGCAAATTGCTGCCTGCAAATTGTTCAAGAGGCATTCATACGTCGTTAGAAAATTTTATATTTCTATTCTGATTGCAAAAGAAAATTCATAAATGCGAGGATTATTAAAAAAGAAGAAAATAATTGAAAATAATTTTTCAAATTATCGCGAAATTGTTGTCGGAATTGTTCGTTGTTAAAGAGGAAGAGATACTCGAAACCATTCGAAGGATTATTTTTATTTACATATTTCGATTCGCAGGCACAGTGATCGCTACCACTATCATCGCACGGCCTGGCTTATCCTTACTTTCAAATATCACTTTGCATCAAGGAAACTGCATCTACGACCTGGCTCAACCTCGTATTCAACCAGAAAAGTGTCGCTGGAGAACGTATCTATAAAATGGGTATCATCGTTGCGTATGAAATTGCAACTGAATGGAAGAGGCGCAAGAGACAAAGGCGAAACAGCGAACGAAAGTACGTTTCGTTGTGCCAATAGTAAACTATCCAAGTGTCGCTAATATTTCCATTGGAATTATCCTTCTGAAATCAGTTTCGCAAATAGCAAATCCGTAATCAGTCCATGAGAGAATGAAACATTTGTCGATCGAACACCAACAGTCTCAAGTAATCTGAAAACGTTCACACAACACTGATACATTCCTCTGAGCGTTCGTTGTCAATGAAAAGCCGAGCAACACCGTTCGTATTCAGGGCAATATAATCAATCAAATTGCTCACACTTTTGAACAACAATTGAAAGCAAATTGAGGTTGAGTCACGGTTAAAGGTAGATTCAGATCGACCAGTCTTCGTGTGTTGGAATATGTGAAGGATATAGAATGTGAGAGATACAGAGAGAGACGAGAGTAAAATGATTCTTTTACAATTAAAAAAAAAAAAAAGAAAGAAAGAGTGAAATGGTGACAGAGAGAGAGAGAGAGAGAGAGAGAGAGAGAGAGAGAGAGAGAGAAAATACGAGGAGAAGGAGAGAAAGTGTAGAATGCGCGAATGAAACGCGTGTGAAAGATGAGGGCCGGCTCTAGGAATTTTGCCATTTTTTCCACTCCCCCCCCTCCCCCCACCAAAAAAAAGAAACTCTCGCGATGATGTTAAACGATTATACTTCGATGCGTATGATTATAAATTTCAAACAGTAGCGTTGGTTAATGAAAATTGTCCATACGTATATTTTGCAGAAAGAAGGAAAGTTATTGTAACATAGTTCCAATCCCCTAGATATTTAAAGAGAATGTACTCAAGTTTATGATATTGTATTATAAAAATAATTCTTTACGATTCATTACAGTTTGAACCAGTGTTTCTTAACCTTTTGATCGTCACGAACTGCTTTCGAATAATATATTATCTGTAATATATATAAAATTGAATAATATATTATTCTATTCAGCTGAACGCTAGATGTCACTCGAAACATTACTCGATTCATTACTTCGGGCTATCGTTCATTTTCGTTCCATTCCAAATCAAATGTATCCAAGCCTGCTTTCTTTAACAACAAGTCGCTCACTTGCGCACATGAGGACTTCGCGATCCTCGCGGATTAAGAAACACGGGTTTTACACTACGAATTTCATCGCCTCCGTGCAAATGCACGTGTCGCGCGGTAGAGCTGGCCCCGCGAGAGACAGCGAGTCACGTGAAAACGCAGAGTGAAAGAGGGAACGTTGTCGAGAATATTTCTATTATTTTCTTGAAATTCGGACCAAGACTTAACCAGCGTTTGTGTGTTCAAATGGTAAAGTGTGTTCTTGGTTGCGGTCCAGCTAGCGGATGAGGACTGGCTGACGCCTAGCCTTCTAGTGTGATGGTAAGCAAGTACACCCCACCAACAGGAACAACTTCTACAGCAACAACAGTTACCACCACCACCACCATCACCACCACCATTATCACCACTACCACAACAACAACAACCAACAACAACAACAACAACAACAACAAAATTTCCGTCACCATCGACGCCACCGCGACAGCAAAAGCAACAAAGATCATGCCGCCTCCGGCTTGATGAAAGCATAAAGCAGAGGGCAGAAATTGCCGAACACGTAAATAGTTAACGATCGCTTTAGTGAACAGAGCAGAAAGTGATGACGGCGAAAGAGAACGGTGGAAAGAGAAAAAGAAAAATACGAAAAAAGAAAAAAAAAAAAGAACCGGGGGATGAATTCTTACCTATATTATGTATATATATAATATATGATATAATATATATTATAATATATATTATATATTGTATATATATATAAGGAGCGTTTCTTAAAAGCGAACGAGAAAGAGAAATGAGAGAAAAATAAAGAAAAAAGACAAAAAAAATATATTGAGAAGAAGACGACGAAAAAAAAAAGAGAAAAAGAATATATAATGACCTCACAGGTTCCCCGAGAAATTTTCACGTCCAGTATATTAACCGGCAATGTTTACGGGAGAAAGAAAACTAAACTGGTCATGCACCGTCAACTAAATCGGAGGTATCCTCTCGTCCAGTCTGTAGGGTAATGTAGTGTCTCTCTCGGCTTGAATTAATAGATAGCGTTGCCGTCACGGTAGTGTCAAAAGCTTCAGTAATGAAACACGAATTCCGGGATACGCGGACCACCATGTGATCATCAAAGACAGTTTGTAGCGTAAACAGCCAATATTTTGTGTGCTGCATCGTCCACAAAGGACTGATTACAGAAGAGACGAACGAGTTGACGCACGTTGAACAACCTCGTGATTTGCACTTTCCGCCATTTAATCGGCGCTAAACTCCTTTATCTTCAGAGAGTGAGAGAGTGAACGAGAGAGAATGAGAAAAAGAGAATGAGAAAAAGAGAATGAGAGAGAGAGAGAGAAAGAGAAAAGCGAAAGACAGGACGCCGCCAGTTATCGACCCGTAACCCGGATTCATTATTTTTGTAGTTTGGGCTTAACAGTGAAAATTAATAAGTCGATGAGAAACTGTGTAAGACGAATGTGAAACTGTAAACGCGCGTTACTCGGCGCGGCGAACCAGCGACCGGCTATTGTAAGTAATCGCGTGGTGTATAAAAATGATAAGTATAAAAAGAGAAATCGATAAACAAAAAAAAAAAAAAAAAAAAAAAAAAAAAAAAAAAAAAAAAAAAAAAAAAAAAAAAAAAAAAAAAAAAGGAGAAAGAGAGAAAGAAAAAAAGAAGGAAGGAAGGAAGAAAAAGAAGAAGGATGGTTATTATAAACGAAATTCAACAATTAGCTAGTTAGGTAGGTATGTTATAATAAAAAGGTTACTCGAGGGACGATTCGAAATTCGGCGGCAGGGCGGACCTACGGAGATCCAACGATTCCGCGTTCCTGAGACACCGTTTGATAAAAAAAAATAAAATAAAATAAAATAAAATAAAAGAAGGGGAAGAAGACGTACAACCCGCTCGACTATCGTGAACCACGGAACAGAAAGATCCACGTGTCTTAATCCATTTCTCCGCCACACTGCGAGGACTTCTTACCTTCGGTTATTATATTTATTATCAGACTCGAGGCCAAAAAGACAAATCACGCGCGAAGTCTTCGCAGAGAAACAGTCGAAGAGCCGTTTTTATTGCTCGAACTTGATCCTTTTTGACGCGGCACTTAGACAGTTGGATATTTTTATAAAAAGATCAGCCGTATGCGCCGAGAGGTGTCGACCGATCACCGTTACGGCGCGCCGATCTCGCGCGTCGAGATAAAAAGAAAAAAAGAAAAATGAAGAATTATAATCGTAATTGTAAACGACAAAACCAGAAAAAAAAGAAAAAAGAAAAACACGAAAGAGTACGGAAAAAAGAAGAAAACGCGGATGGGACGAGGCGTCGTTCAGCGATCGATCGACTCCGATCAATCGTATCGGGTCTACCGTGGTTTTTAACATATACCTTAGATTTTTATATAAATACGAGTACCATAGAGCCAAAAGGGGAAAGAAATCTCGACTTTAAGACGCTTAAGCAATAAATCATTAAGCTTAGGAAAGCGAAGGAACAAATCGTTTATCCCCGCGTCTCTCTCTCTGCTGTGAGTCGCTCTCAGCTGTTCTCAGCTCGTGAGCCACGAATTCGTGAAACAACGAACGGGTGTATAGATCGGAGAGGAGGGGCACGACGTGAGTTTTAAGAAATCGACGAGATTAAAAATGATAGAAAAGAAAAAAGAGAGAAAAGAAAGGAAAGAAAAGTACGGAACGAATCGATAACACGGTCTGTCCGACGTCCCGAATTTCGACTTGGCCAATCTAACGAAGCAAAAAGATATAACAAAAGAAGAAAAATAGAAACGAAATCGAAACAGGCGTAAGTAAGGAAACAAATTGTAAAATTATGCATGGATACGCTCGCGTAAAGCGTACAAACGAGAGAATGTAGAGAGAGAGAGAGAGAATACGAGAGTGAATGAGCCGAGAGTCTGCGAGTAATAAAATGAGAAATTATACCACAAGCGAGAGACGAGAGAAGAAGAAGAAGGAGGAGGAAAAAAAAATAATAAAGATTAAACAATTCGTAGATAGACACATTGCACAAACAGCACGAAAGTTAGATTAGAGGTCCGTCGAGTTCCTTCCTCGCGAGCGCGTATCCTGTCCACCGATTAAATCTTTCAAAGGTTGTGTCTCTCTCTGTGTAATTCCGTCGTATCGGAAAAACAAAATCCCTCAGCCTTTTAAAACCGTCCGCTGTGTACGTGTGTGTATGTGTCTGTGTGTACACAGCGGCGGGCACAAAAAGAAACGAGAGAGGAGAGATCGTTAGAGAACAGGTTAGGGATTAAGAAAAAATGAACGCGAAGATCGACGACGGTTTAACAAGTATAACGAGCACGAGGTAATCCCATCTGATTTCCCTATCTATGATCCCTCCACCCCACCTCCCCCTCCCCCTTCCCGCCCCTTCAGCTTCAGAGCTTCGTAACCTGTCTATTCTTACTACCGTGCTTCGTCTCTTTTTCGGTTTTAAGCACGATCCGATGCCTCGCGTCCGTGACACTTCCTCTGTTTCGTCCGGATCGACCCCTTTGATAGTCGTCCACACTCTTCTCCACGCTCACCCTCCTCCTCCCCCCGCCCCCGGATGTTTGCACGGTGTTTCTCAATAATGAAACTGTCCCGTCGGCCGACGTGGCGAGATCCACAGGTTTCGTTTATGACATTCGACGAAACTCGTGGGATTTGGACGAGAGCGACGAAATCGAGTAACGAAAGGAGCAGAGAGGAGGAGGAGGAGGAGGAGGAGGAGGAGAAGGAGAGAAAAGAGAATGGAACGAGACGATAACGGGGACGAGCAAGGATGAAAACGGGCAAAAGAGACGAGTGGGGGGAGGGGGAGGAGGGGAAAAGCGAGCAACCGAAAGAAAGATAAAGAGAGATGGACGACTTTGTTATTAATCAAAAGATAGACGGATCGTGCTTTAAACGAATAAAAAGCGTTCGACGTTTTCGAATCAAAAGAAGAAAAAGAAAAGGGGAGGGAAAGGGGAAGGGGGGAAAGAAGAGAAAGAAAACGCGATGATCAAAGAACGATACAGGGACGTTTGCGAAACGTTGAAGTTGAACAGAACGCGAGAGCATCGAAATACGAGAGAATGACGAAATCAAACCCGCTTGGGACAACGTAGCATTTAGGAATTATCAGTAAATTTACTAATTTCACCGAACGATTCGATACGTAGTACGTGAATATGGATATAAAAGGTGTGCCTTCAGTCCATCTCGCGGACCACAAATATTTCGTGCCATTAATTCCTCGTAAACTAAATAATTGTTCTATTCGGCGAGTGAAAACGAGCAAACGTTTCTTATGCCTGAAACATAAAACGTAAGTAATCTTAAATCTGACAAACTACGCGTAATTCGATAATCTCTTAGTGTCTTCCCAGTACGAAAAGCAGTCTCGACAAAACTTCCCCCATGTTGTAACGTAG